GGCCGAGCGGCGGCGGAGGCTGCGGCGGCTGTGTCGAGAGGGCGGCCAAGCCCCTGCGACCTAGGGCAGAGTTCCGCTACCTTAGTGCCCAGCTCGCGGAACGAGGTGGGCGGGCGGCTCGGGACCATGGCCAGGGCCGGCATGGAGCGGTGGCGTGACCGGCTAGCACTGGTGACGGGGGCCTCGGGGGGCATCGGCGCGGCCGTGGCCCGGGCCCTGGTCCAGCAGGGGCTGAAGGTGGTGGGTTGTGCCCGCACTGTGGGCAATATAGAGGTAAGGTCTGGTCGGGGAGCGGGTCGCTCTGGGAGCCGTCGTTTCCGCTGGGGTAGGGTCCAGGTGGGGGAGGGGGAGTGGCCGGAGTCGCGCTGTGACGCTTCGCTCACTTGCCTGCCACCCCAGGGCCATTTGCAACGGGCTCAAGGGCAGGAGATGTGGATGCCTAGTAGGGGAGGCCTTCTTCACCTTCGCTATTTTAAGTCCAGTCTTGTACGGAGCCTTTTCTCCGTACAGCCCCTGTTCTAGGGTACCAACTTTTTGACTTTTTTTTTAAAACGTAGTCAATTTTATTCTCCTTAAACTACAAAATAGAGTCTTTGATTGTCCAAATTTTCGACTCCTGGGCATCTTCTCCTCTCCTACCTGCCTGCCCTGGTAGGCTGAGGAAAAGGGAACCAGAGATCAGGGGCTAGCTGGGCAGCCAGGGAGAAGGAAAGAAAGTCTCCTGGCTTCAGTGGCTAAGCTCGCTGCTGGATTACTTCCTCTCCTCCCCAGACCTAGCCCACAAAGCCAAGCAAAGTGGCTGGCCAGCCAGATGAGCAGAAGCTAGACGTTTTGATGGTGATCATTTCCCAGCCAAGTCTGATGATGGGGAACTTTTTCTGAAGAGGCTAGTCCCTTTCCCCACCAAGTCTGAGGGTTAATCCCTACCCAGTGGGCCTAAGGGATTGACGATGGGATATTCACAGGTAGACCTTTCTCTAATTTCACTGAGACTGAGTAGGTGTAACAGGGCATTGAACATGTGAACTCTGAGGGGACAAAGCAATGTGGAACTGGAACTCCTGGTTTTTCTCTTAAGGTGGGGCTGGGGTTGGGAGCAGAGTTGTGAGCAACAAGAGCTCAGAGACAAATGAAATGAAGTTGGCCATGTTGGAGCATGGAGGAAGAAGAGGAGATTTTTCCATGATAGGTCATTGGATTTGCCTGGCAAGGTCACTCTCAGGGGCTGGGCTAGTGCTTAACTGTGGGCATTGCCTCCACCATTGCTCAAAGTCCCCCAGCAGAGATAGAGTACGGAGTCCTTGGGTGGGGACAGAGGGAGAAGGTGTACAGGAAGGAGAACTGTTCCCTCCCCTGTTGCTGACCAAAGGTATACTTTATAGCCTCCTAGATAGTCCCAAGGTCACCTGGCTACACCTTTGCCCCACTCTGCCCCTCCCTGCTTTCTACCCTGAGGATCTCAGGAGGTTTGGAGCCTAGATGATCAGGCCAGGGATTAGAACACTGGATTCCCTAATTCTAAAGCCACTCTTGCCTTCTCTTCCTACTCCCTCACCCCAAACTAGTCAGGAAAAGGGGCTCCTGAGCCCCAAGGGAACCCTCATGCTGATCACGTAGCCCTATGATGACTCTTTTAATGAGAGGAGAATGCCTCCACTGTGAGGGGACCAACATGATTTCAGGCCATTTTTGAGGACAGATGAGGATAGGTAGGGAAGGCAGTGACAGGGAGAAATATATTCTCAGTCACTCCATCCTGGCTTTCCTGCAGGGGGTTTGAATCTGGCAGAGGAAGGGAAAAGTTGCCTGCCAGGGGTGGGGTGAAGTCCAGGTTTCTTTGACCACAGTCTGCTTTTACTGACTGATATTAAAACTGTTTTGAGTTTTGGCCTCCTACGGAGAGAATCTCTATTTCCTGAGGTGGTCGTGAGTAGGCAAAATTGGGTGAAGGGGGTGCTTCTGAGTCCCAGAGGGCTATACCTTTTAAACTCCCAGAGAGTTAAAGAAGAAAAGAATTTCCTAGGTCACTTGATCCAGCCCCTTATTCCCAGCTTGGTTTGGGGGGAGGAAGGGCTCCAGGCCAGGGCAGCTGGCCAAGTTGGCTTTCCCCTAGGGCATCCCACACCCCTCAGCTCTCTCCCTCCCACACATGTAGTCACCTTCACGAGGCTTAGATGCCCAGTCACTGGCCTCCAAGGCTACATAGCTGTTTCTTCCTGCTTCTGAATGTCAGCTTTCCTCATAGCCATCTCTCAGTGGCTCTGCTTTCTCAGGTCTTTCTCTCTCAAGACTCTTTAGTGTGTTGGGGGCCTTGGTGATGTACAGGGGGGTTGCCAGTGCCACCTGCCACCTGACTTACCTCGGTCTCCAGAGAAACTTTTGGGTGGAGGGTGGCACACCATGGGACTGAGAGAAAGAATATGTCCTGACTTCCTGATCCTTCCTATGGGTAGGGCGAGAGGAGATTGGCAGTTAAACTCGATTGACAAGTATGAGAGTTCTCAGTGTGAGAACTATGAGCCACTGCAATTTGTGGAGGATGATAGTTCACATATCACCCCTTCTATAAGGGACTAGATGAGGTGATGGCAGAGAAGTACTTAAGAAGAGATGGGAGAGAACCAGCTCAGTGACTTCTGGCACTGGTGGAAGAAGCATGGGGTGGAGTGAGAGGTGTGTCTTACCTATGAGCAGAGAAGGTGTGCCTATTGAGGGAGAGGCAGACAAGAAATATCATTCCATTCCAGGATCCCTGGTCCCCTTCTTTGGCTCCCTCAGAGCCTCAGCCCCTTCTCAGAACTGAAGACTCGAGTTCATCTGTAAGGTTCCTTCATTGAAAATCTCAACTTTCCCCTCCCTCACTCAGGGAGTGCTCTTATCCCCTGGACTTTGACCAAAGAGGACAAACTTTGGGGGATGGGCAGTCCCAATATCTATGTGACTGAAAGGTGGCCGCCAAAGGAGAGTTCTATGAGTGGTGACAGCGGAGGGAGGTTGTCTCTGGTTGGGGAGGTGTGGGAGTGAGCAGCTCACTCCAGTTAGACTCCTGTTGGGTTTCATAGGAGCTGGCTGCTGAATGTAAGAGTGCAGGCTACCCCGGGACTTTGATCCCCTTCAGATGTGACCTGTCAAATGAAGAGGACATCCTCTCCATGTTCTCGGCTATCCGCTGTCAGCACGGCGGTGTGGACATCTGCATCAACAACGCTGGTTTGGCCCGGCCTGACACCCTGCTCTCAGGCAGCACCAGCGGTTGGAAGGACATGTTCAATGTAAGGGCTGCAGGCCTGGAATGGGAGGCTGGGAGGAGAGCAGGGAGCCAGGGGCCTGTGAACCAGAACGCTGCTCAGGATAGGACATCTAGCAAGAGGGAGCTTTGGATTCCTACCTGGGGCACCTTGATTGTCCC